CCAATTAGATAGAAAAGATCAAAGAGGTACAATGCGACCTCAATTGGTCTTTTGGATATGAGCGTCCTTGCCCATGAGAACCTACTAAAGTGGTCTCTTATATGACATATGTACTTAAACTTGCCATCTGGGATATAGGATAAATCGATTAGATCCATCTACAGAATAAACATCTAATTAGAAAATTTTAAAAATTTTAATTTAATATCAAGAACAAAATAAAACATACCTGCAGTCACAACAAAAAATTCTTAGCAATTATAGGTTTTGCCGCCAAAGGGTGGAATGACGGTTTCCTCGCAGCACAGGCTGTACAATTGTTCACAAACTCTTCCACGATTTCTTGTTTTATGTATCCCTATTTTTCACGGATTGATATTCACATTTGCTTCTGACTGCCATGTTGATTTACTTCGCCATGAGTATGACAGAAAACTTCATAAAACCTTTCAGTTATAAGCACAGGGTTTTTCAAAGCCTTTACGATTACTCTGTAATCTCCAGGCATAATTTCCTCTAACTCAAACTTTTTTTTAGCCCAACTATGTAGGTTTTTATCATACAATGAGGTGTCTTTAGGATTTAATAAAATTGTTTTAATTTTATTTAAAAGTTCATTATTAATTAAGGCCTTTGCTTGTTTCGCTCTTGGAAGATTGGTTATATACTCTTCCACGATTCGATCAAGGGTGTTCCTGCTAATAAATGTGTATTCCATCTATAGGTAATGAACTCGTAAAGCCAGTTCAAAATAAAATATGTAAAAAAAAAAAACAGTAGCACCAAATAAAGCAACGCAATAAGATCAAAAGAACAGGTGGCGCCAATAGGAAATGTAGTTGAGATCAAAGAACAGGTGGTACCAATATGAGGTGTAGTTGAGATTAAAGAAAATATGGACCCAATGTGGACTGATAACGATGAGGTCAAAGTACGTAATACCAAGAATAGAGATGGCGTTTAGATAGATCAAAGAAAATAAGTGGTACCCAATGTGAAAAGATAGCGATACCCAATGTGAAAAGATAGCAACACCCAATGTGAAAAGATAGCAACACCCAATGTGAAAAGATAGCAACACCCAATGTGAAAAGATAGCAACACCAAATATAGAAGACAGCGTTAAGAGCAGCACTAAATATAGAGATATAAAATGACACAAACAAATACCAACATTAAATATGAAAAATGAAAATGGTAGGTACCAAGAACCAAGCCAATGTCAAATTCAAAAAATATAAACCAATGTCGAATGCGGGGAGATGCAAAGTCAATGTCAAACACAAGGAGATGCGAAGCCAATGTCAAATGCAAATAAACGTAAAACCAAAGCCGAACACGAAGAATCGTAAATCTAATTTTAATGCGAAAAGTGGTAAAGCCAATGAATGCAAAGAGAGGAAAGCCAGCGAAAGCAAAGAGAGGAAAGCCAGCAAAAGCAAAGAGAGGAACCAACGAACGCAAAGGAGGTAAAGCCAACGAATTCAAAAAGGTAAGTACTGAATGTGATGTAAAGCTAACTCCAGAAAACGCCAAAGGTACAAAGCCAAGCTCCAAAAAAGTCTTTTTTATACTCTTGGTCATTAATTACATAGTTATTACGTCGTAATGACATATTATTGCATCGTAATGACATCATAATTACATTTTTTCTTACATTTAAAAAAAAATTTTCTAATGATGGTCTTGCGTCAGATTAAATCTTACGCACGTCAGATGACCGATTGACAGATGACATGTGTCATCTGAAAATCAGCATCTGATGTGCATCGGATTAGATCCAACACAAGAATCGATCTGAGGCACAACATATATAAATATATATATATATTTTATTATTATTTTTTTCTTTTTTTATTTTTTTTTGTGCTCTTTTTTGTTATGCTTTGCTTGTTAGGTTGTTATTGCTAGATGAAACTAATAAATTTTTTTTTGTTAGGTTCTTTTTTTTTTTCTTCATAGAGCCAGGATACTAATAACCTAAACTAGATTTCTGTTAGGGCTAGATTTTTTTTAATTATCAGTTTTGACTAATTAGATTTCTTTATTTTTAGTTTTTTTTCAAGAACAATATTAGAAGATTCATTCAGAGGTTTTCTAATTTGAGATAACATATTGGTATTATTATATATACTATTATAACAGTAAATAATTCTAAAATTATAAAGCTGTATTTTCAAGATCTATTGAGTTCAATATCTAGTCAATACAGAAGTTTGAAGCACTTCAATGCGGCATAATTGGTTATGACAATAAAAGGTTTCAATCTGACATAATGATAAAAATGCTTAATCACTTTGGTTTAGACCGCAGATAAATTAGTCTGAGTTTCTTTTCTTGCTATCTTAGGATATAAAATTTAAATAGATTCTTTTCCTTGTAAGAATTTTTTTTTATTGTAGAAGAATTAAATTAAACTTTAATAAAATCAAAGACATGGTCTCACTATTAATATTCAAAAAAAAAAAAGCTTAATCACTTAGAAAACAGTAAGGCATATATGTTCGGTAATAGTATAGTTTTTTTTAGCTTTGGTAATTCTATGGCTTGTATACACAATAACATACTCATTTTTTTAATTATCCTTTTGTGCCAAAATGATATCCAACTAGTATTCTGAGATATTTGCGTGAATTATAAATATCTTGTCAAAATTCAAATAATGTAGAATTGGTACATCAGTAAGAAGTTACTTTAGTTTATTAAAAGTATCTTTCTGGTCTTTTTCTTATTTATATTTAATATCTTTTTATAATAGCAAATGAAAAGAATATGTGATAGCAGCAAACTTGGTAATAAACTTTTGATAATACAAGGCTAATCTCAAAAAATCTTATAACTGTCAAAGCATTCATTTGTAATACAGGGTAATTTCAACTTTCTTTATCTTCTTATCATTGAGATATATACCTTTTCTACTAATGACATAGCCCAAAAATTGCAGGTAGGCTGTAAAGAAATAGCATTTATCAGAGTTTAGCTTCAATTATACACTTTGTAATTTGTTAAAGATAATAACCAAATAGTTAGTATACTCATCAAATGATGAATAAATAATAATATTATGAAGATATATGATGATGAATTGGTCTAAAAATTCAGTCAATATTTTATTTATCATATGCTAAAATGTGGCAGAGGTATTACAAAGCCCAAATTGTATTACTATAAACTCGTAAGTTCCAAAGCTCATAATGAAAACAATTTTTTCAATATCTCTATCTTTAATTTGAACTTGAAAATAGCCTAACATAATATCTAATGTTGAGAACTATATTGTAATTCAAAAAATTCCAAGAAATTATCAACTTGGAACAAGAATATATATCTTTCTTTGTAACTAAATTGAGCTTCTAATAGTTAATATATAGATGTAATTTACTGCCTTTCTTTGAGACAACAACTACAGAAGGCATTCAGAGGCTGGTGTTTTCTTTGACAAACCCTTTAGCTTTTAATCTTTCAACTTTATCCTTTATATAGCTATATATACTAGAGGCAGTATGATATGAGGCTTGCATTATAGAGTTAGTACTCTTGGTAATTATTTTATAAATATATACTAATGTTTGACCTAAATCACTTATACTTTTTGCAAAAATATTCTCTTTCTTACTTAACAAACTATGTATATAATCTTATTAATTATTAGTTAAGAAAGATATATATTCTTGTTCCAAGTTGATAATTTCTTGGAATTTTTTGAATTACAATATAGTTCTCAACATTAGATATTATGTTAGGCTATTTTCAAGTTCAAATTAAAGATAGAGATATTGAAAAAATTGTTTTCATTATGAGCTTTGGAACTTACGAGTTTATAGTAATACAATTTGGGCTTTGTAATACCTCTGCCACATTTTAGCATATGATAAATAAAATATTGACTGAATTTTTAGACCAATTCATCATCATATATCTTCATAATATTATTATTTATTCATCATTTGATGAGTATACTAACTATTTGGTTATTATCTTTAACAAATTACAAAGTGTATAATTGAAGCTAAACTCTGATAAATGCTATTTCTTTACAGCCTACCTGCAATTTTTGGGCTATGTCATTAGTAGAAAAGGTATATATCTCAATGATAAGAAGATAAAGAAAGTTGAAATTACCCTGTATTACAAATGAATGCTTTGACAGTTATAAGATTTTTTGAGATTAGCCTTGTATTATCAAAAGTTTATTACCAAGTTTGCTGCTATCACATATTCTTTTCATTTGCTATTATAAAAAGATATTAAATATAAATAAGAAAAAGACCAGAAAGATACTTTTAATAAACTAAAGTAACTTCTTACTGATGTACCAATTCTACATTATTTGAATTTTGACAAGATATTTATAATTCACGCAAATATCTCAGAATACTAGTTGGATATCATTTTGGCACAAAAGGATAATTAAAAAAATGAGTATGTTATTGTGTATACAAGCCATAGAATTACCAAAGCTAAAAAAAACTATACTATTACCGAACATATATGCCTTACTGTTTTCTAAGTGATTAAGCTTTTTTTTTTTTGAATATTAATAGTGAGACCATGTCTTTGATTTTATTAAAGTTTAATTTAATTCTTCTACAATAAAAAAAAATTCTTACAAGGAAAAGAATCTATTTAAATTTTATATCCTAAGATAGCAAGAAAAGAAACTCAGACTAATTTATCTGCGGTCTAAACCAAAGTGATTAAGCATTTTTATCATTATGTCAGATTGAAACCTTTTATTGTCATAACCAATTATGCCGCATTGAAGTGCTTCAAACTTCTGTATTGACTAGATATTGAACTCAATAGATCTTGAAAATACAGCTTTATAATTTTAGAATTATTTACTGTTATAATAGTATATATAATAATACCAATATGTTATCTCAAATTAGAAAACCTCTGAATGAATCTTCTAATATTGTTCTTGAAAAAAAACTAAAAATAAAGAAATCTAATTAGTCAAAACTGATAATTAAAAAAAATCTAGCCCTAACAGAAATCTAGTTTAGGTTATTAGTATCCTGGCTCTATGAAGAAAAAAAAAAAGAACCTAACAAAAAAAAATTTATTAGTTTCATCTAGCAATAACAACCTAACAAGCAAAGCATAACAAAAAAGAGCACAAAAAAAAATAAAAAAAGAAAAAAATAATAATAAAATATATATATATATTTATATATGTTGTGCCTCAGATCGATTCTTGTGTTGGATCTAATCCGATGCACATCAGATGCTGATTTTCAGATGACACATGTCATCTGTCAATCGGTCATCTGACGTGCGTAAGATTTAATCTGACGCAAGACCATCATTAGAAAATTTTTTTTTAAATGTAAGAAAAAATGTAATTATGATGTCATTACGATGCAATAATATGTCATTACGACGTAATAACTATGTAATTAATGACCAAGAGTATAAAAAAGACTTTTTTGGAGCTTGGCTTTGTACCTTTGGCGTTTTCTGGAGTTAGCTTTACATCACATTCAGTACTTACCTTTTTGAATTCGTTGGCTTTACCTCCTTTGCGTTCGTTGGTTCCTCTCTTTGCTTTTGCTGGCTTTCCTCTCTTTGCTTTCGCTGGCTTTCCTCTCTTTGCATTCATTGGCTTTACCACTTTTCGCATTAAAATTAGATTTACGATTCTTCGTGTTCGGCTTTGGTTTTACGTTTATTTGCATTTGACATTGGCTTCGCATCTCCTTGTGTTTGACATTGACTTTGCATCTCCCCGCATTCGACATTGGTTTATATTTTTTGAATTTGACATTGGCTTGGTTCTTGGTACCTACCATTTTCATTTTTCATATTTAATGTTGGTATTTGTTTGTGTCATTTTATATCTCTATATTTAGTGCTGCTCTTAACGCTGTCTTCTATATTTGGTGTTGCTATCTTTTCACATTGGGTGTTGCTATCTTTTCACATTGGGTGTTGCTATCTTTTCACATTGGGTGTTGCTATCTTTTCACATTGGGTATCGCTATCTTTTCACATTGGGTACCACTTATTTTCTTTGATCTATCTAAACGCCATCTCTATTCTTGGTATTACGTACTTTGACCTCATCGTTATCAGTCCACATTGGGTCCATATTTTCTTTAATCTCAACTACACCTCATATTGGTACCACCTGTTCTTTGATCTCAACTACATTTCCTATTGGCGCCACCTGTTCTTTTGATCTTATTGCGTTGCTTTATTTGGTGCTACTGTTTTTTTTTTTTACATATTTTATTTTGAACTGGCTTTACGAGTTCATTACCTATAGATGGAATACACATTTATTAGCAGGAACACCCTTGATCGAATCGTGGAAGAGTATATAACCAATCTTCCAAGAGCGAAACAAGCAAAGGCCTTAATTAATAATGAACTTTTAAATAAAATTAAAACAATTTTATTAAATCCTAAAGACACCTCATTGTATGATAAAAACCTACATAGTTGGGCTAAAAAAAAGTTTGAGTTAGAGGAAATTATGCCTGGAGATTACAGAGTAATCGTAAAGGCTTTGAAAAACCCTGTGCTTATAACTGAAAGGTTTTATGAAGTTTTCTGTCATACTCATGGCGAAGTAAATCAACATGGCAGTCAGAAGCAAATGTGAATATCAATCCGTGAAAAATAGGGATACATAAAACAAGAAATCGTGGAAGAGTTTGTGAACAATTGTACAGCCTGTGCTGCGAGGAAACCGTCATTCCACCCTTTGGCGGCAAAACCTATAATTGCTAAGAATTTTTTGTTGTGACTGCAGGTATGTTTTATTTTGTTCTTGATATTAAATTAAAATTTTTAAAATTTTCTAATTAGATGTTTATTCTGTAGATGGATCTAATCGATTTATCCTATATCCCAGATGGCAAGTTTAAGTACATATGTCATATAAGAGACCACTTTAGTAGGTTCTCATGGGCAAGGACGCTCATATCCAAAAGACCAATTGAGGTCGCATTGTACCTCTTTGATCTTTTCTATCTAATTGGATCATTATATACTATTCTGCAATTGGACAATAGCAAAGAGTTTATTGCACAAGTTATCAAAGAGTTGGTTGGACTCTGGCCCTTTGTAAAGATAATCAATAGGCACCCTAGGCACCCTCAGTCACAAGGTCTCATCGAACAGACGAATGGTATTTTAGAACAAAAATTGAGAAAATGGAGAGAAACAACTGGTCGAAGTGACTGGTCATTTGGTTTGAGATTAGTTGTAGTTGCCATGAATAATTCATGGTATAGATCACATAAAAAAACTTCCTATGAGCTAGTTTATAAAGACAAACCTCGTAGTAATTGTACTCTTGTTGATGAATTATACGCCAATAATATCTTTGATGAAGAGGATGTTCCAGATACAGTAGAGATTCCGGATGATGAAATTGACTTAGATGATGACATGGCTGGTAAGAAAATTAATAAAATAATATAAAGTATTTTGTTTAATTAAATTTATTTAATTTTTTTTTTTTTTAGAATTTTTACCCAATAATGATGATCCAGAAATATCACCCAACCATATTGGTTGTTCAGTGCCATTATACGATAATTGTTTAGTACAATAATCAAAAAGTTTAGTGCCTTCGCCCGAAATTTCAATATCTTCAACCAGTTTAGTCTCTTCGCCTGGTTCAGTCTCTTTGCCCGGTTCAGTGTCTTCACCCGTTTCAGTGTCTTCGCTCGTTTCAGTGTCTTCGCCTGGTTTAGTGTCTTCGTCCAGTTCAGTTTCTTCACCCAGTTCAGTATTTTCGCCTAGTCTAGTGTCTTCGCACACTAATAATGTTTATTATCCAGTGTTTTAATCTAAAAATTCAATCCTATCATCTGATAATTAAGGTTGTTGTCAAGTGCTTTCACCTGGTAATCAAGGTCATGAGCAAGTTTTTCCATCCGGTAATCAAAGTTGTGATCAAATGCCTTCACTTGGTAATAATCAAGATTGTGGCCAAGTATCTTTGCCTGGTAAGCAAATTGTTAGTCCTTCGCACAATAATGTTTTTTGTCAGTGTTTTTATCTAAAAATTCAATACTATTATCCGATAATCAAGGTTATGGGCAAGTTTTTTCTCCCGGTAATCAAAGTTGCAGTAAAGTGACTTCGCCCGGTAATAATTACCAAGTGTTTTCGCTTGGTAATCAAAGTTGTAATCAAATGCCTTTGCCCGGTGATAATCAAGATTGTTGTCAAGTATCTTCGACCGATAAGCAAATTTTTGGTCCTTCACACAATAAGTTTTTGCTAGTGTCTTTATCTAAAAATTTAATACTATTATCTAAAATAATCAAGGTTGTGCAAGTTTTGTCACCCGGTAATCAAAGTTGCAGTCAATTGCCTTCACCTGGTAATAATTGTAGCCAAGTATCTTCGCCCGTAAGCAAATTGTTGGTTCTTCATGCAATAATGTTTTTTATCAGTGTTTTTATCTAAAAATTCAATACTATTATCCAATAATCAAGGTTGTGGGCAAGTTTTTTTGCCGGAAATCAAGATTGTGTGCAAGTTTTTTCGCCCGGTAATCAAAGTTGCAGTCAAGTGCCTTCACCTGGTAATAATCAAGTACTTTTGTCTGGTAATCAAAGCTGTAATCAAATGCCTTCGCCTGGTAGTTGTGGTCAAGTATCTTTGTCTGGTAAGCAAATGGTTGGTCTTTCGTACAATAAAGTTTTTTGTTTTGTCTTTATCTAAAAATTCAATGCAATTATCTGATAATCAAGGTTGTGTTCAAGTGCTTTCACCTGGTAATCGAGGTTGTGGTCAAGTTTTTTCGCCCAGTAATCAAAGTTTCATTCAAATGCCTTCACCCGGTGATAATCAAGGTTGTAGTCAGGTATCTTCGCCCGGTAAGCAAACTGTTGGTTCTTCGTACAATAAGTTTTTTGTTGTCTTTATCTAAAAATTTAATACTATTATCTGAAATAATAAAGGTTGTGGGCAAGTTTTTTTGCCTGGTAATCAAAGTTGCAGTCAAGTGCCTTCGCCTGGTAATAAAGGTTGTAATTAAGTGCTTTTGCCCGGTAACCAAAGTTGTAATCAAGTGCCTTTGCCCGTTGTCCTCGTTGATGACTCTGTACCTTCGCTTACTGATTATGTTAGTTTCTCTAAGCCTTTATTTGAGAATTGTGTTGGCCGTCAAGAGCCTTTGTCTAATAACCATGGTATGTTTTGTGTTTCAGCTGATAATTGTTATTGATCAGGATATAATGCTAATTCATCAAATTCTAGCTCTTGTTGATGTTACTAACAATCATTTGAATTCCAATCGTCATGATATTCTACAAGAAGCTGCGCGCTATAACCTTCAGCAGTATACCGACAAGATGACACAACAAATGTTAAAAAAAAGAAAGCTTGTTAATATTCAAGTCGGTGATTTTGTAAGAGTAAATATCCCAAAGATCAATCGATTCAGTATTGATCGCTCTACTCTTCCCTGTAAATTTTTGGAAAAAACTGGTAAAGATCAGTACCGACTTGGGTGTAAATTTGGTATAATTAGGATATGCTACGCCTCATGCGAACTTGAAATGCTCGGAACTATTACTTGTTCTGAGCTTGATGAAATTCTATCAAATCAAGTATTGATTCATGAGGCAGCAAGGCTGCAAAGTGTAGGAACTATGTCAGGAACTATGTTAGGTTTTATCTGTAGTTGCAAGGGTTTGTGTGATAGCAAAAGGTGCAAGTATAAAAAAATGAATACAAAATATACAAGTCGTTGTCATAGTGGGCGATCATGTTTGAATAAAGATTAATATACAGTATTATTGCATAAAAAATTAGTTTTTTTTCCCG